CCTCCACTGGTTCTGTGGCTGCAAGAATTCTGCCTCAGTGGGGCGACATAGTCAAATTTATTTAGCACATTGTATCTGAAGCTGTTAGGACAAGCAAGGCCTGGGATGCACACTATAGGGCATCCTTTCCATACATGAAGCACCATTTATGTACTATCATTTATGGTTGCTGTGGAAACTGTTTAGTTTCTTCTTTAAAGGTGGGGAGAACACTATAGATGGAGAATACCCCAACACATTATGTTAGAAGCATTTACAATAGTGTTACTAAAATACTCCTAAGGGTCAAACAGTACTAAAATCAAATGAAGGGTGATGAGAAAGTAACAAACGTGTTAAACATGGTTTCCAACAACCGGTAACCCTTCACTTGTTTAATATACCTTGTGGAACATTGATAAAATAACATTCTTCCAATCTTCTTCTTTCCTATCAAGGGAAGCTTCCTGATGTCATTTTGGCCTATTTTTTGGGTTTAGATTGTTCGGTTTCAGGATAAAGAGTCTCATCAAATATTTCTTGAACCAGAGGGCCGAGATGTGCCGGAGCTTTATGTGCAGGTATATTAGCATTCACCTTTTTCCTTCTCTGCATTAAATGAAAAGGAGAAAAATATAAATAAAATGACTTAACTGAATGGTTAGTGCCCATTTTTTATTTCTCTTATATATATATATATGTCATCAATTTGTCTCTGATTGAATGCATATAGATACCCGAATTTTGTCAAGTTTTTAACAGATTAACTATAGCAGATTATACTTGGTATCAATATTTTATAATCTGTGTTGTGGATATGCTTTTTATAAAAATCATTTCCCTAAATTTCATCATTTCCTTCTCCACACAGGGATTCTCAACTGGTTTACCAGAGAGACTACAGTTACCACTCTTGAGGACTTTGCCTGGCCTTGAAAATTGTTCAATGCTGAGGCCTGCTTATGCTGTAGAGTATGACTTCTTGCCTGCTCATCAATGTTCTCGGTCTCTTATGACAAAGAAAATCGATGGGCTTTTCTTCTCTGGTCAAATAAATGGAACTACAGGCTATGAGGAGGCTGCAGCACAAGTAATTCTTTAGAGTACCTTTACTCAGTGAAATACAATCTATCTGTAGTTGTCGATGCAATGCTACATCTGAAAGAATCATGCATTAGGGTTTCACTTGTTTAAAAGGAACTTTGTGCCTTTGGGTTGTTGTGTCTAAACTCTAAATCAATAATTTATTTGTTCTAATTTTTTTTTAATTTTTTTTATTCTTGTTTATGCTTTTCTCAAGGGCATTATTTCTGGTATCAATGCTGCCAGACATTCAGATGGCAAGTCCCTCATTGTTCTTGAGAGAGAAAGCAGTTATATAGGAACATTGATTGATGATCTGGTCACGAAGGACCTTCGAGAGCCTTACCGCATGCTAACCAGGTAATGAGCTCATGATATTATCCCAATATATATAAGATCATTGTTATTTCCAGTCATACTTTTAATTTTTGGAATCAGTAAGTGCTAAGTATTAAATTTGGTGGGTGGTTGAGGTGGCATGTTTGATGGTTCGGCTTAGTCACTTCACGGTTCACATCATAAGTGGTCACGTGAATGTTTTTGAAGATACAAGCAGAACTTGGAAGACTATTTAATTGCGTAACTTTAGATCATTTTAAACAGTCTTTCTAAATTCTAACATTTTCTACATGGCTACATCATTGTTTTGGCGAATAGTTGGTTCTTTTTATGACACCAAGAGGTTCTGTAAAAAAATTTAAAGTGTAACGCTACTCACACCCATAACGGACCATCTATTTTTTTTCTCTATTGTAACAAATATCTCATTATTTTCTAGACAAACAAGCCAATCGATGTTACTATAACACACAGCCAATTGGTGACATAAAAAGAACCAACTATTCTTCTAAACAATGATGTAGCTATGTAGAAAACTTAAATGTAACACTACTCCCACCCGTAAAGGACCATCTCTTTTTCTCTATTGGGTATCACTGCCCTTGGCAGATCACTGGCCTCCCCATCAATTTTCAAGGTACAATGAGGACGAGCAACTATATGGCAGTAAGACAATGCTCAACTTTTGGAAGTTAAACGGTGGAAGTAGAAGTCATTGTTGTGGCCTTCTAGGCTTCTACACAAAAGAACCTGTGAATGTTGAGGGGCACTGCTACCTCTAGATGCCATGGGCGGAATACCAATCGTAGATAGTTTGATTTATCTAGCGTCAATTAATTCTTCATGACATAAAATAAGTTCATAATTCATCTGTAGATTTTCAAGTTGGTTTAACATTCCATAACATCCTATCCTTTATTTTCCAATATAGTCGATCAGAGCACCGGTTACTTCTCCGATCTGATAATGCTGATAGCCGTCTCACACCACTGGGGCGTGAAATTGGGTTAATAGATGATAGACGATGGAAACTCTACCAGGACAAACAAGCTCGAATTTCAGAAGAAAAGAAGCGATTGAAAAGTGTCAGAATTTCAGGTTCTCATCTCTTTATCTAATTCTTGTTATAATTTGTAGCCTCTTTACACTTTTAGCATTGTTGTGTACTTTAGGTTGTTTAACTTGGCATATTTTAGTGAAACTATCAAGCCGAAGTACATTTTCCCCTTCTAGTTTACCAGGAAGTTTCAATTGGCCCTGATTTCAACTTGATGGGTTAACCTTGCAATTCCTTTAGATCCTTTCTACGTTGTGTCTTTAGTTTCACATGGGATCTCAAGTCTAAGTAGCAAGGTAAGCATATAATTCACTCCCTGTTAATGCGAGCATCAGTTGTGCTCTATAACCCACCCTATAGTCTAGTATGGCCAGTGTTTAAAAAGCGCGTGTTGGGACGCGTGTCACACACCTCATAGCTGTACGCATTGGCTTACACTTTGTTCCTTAGGATTAAGCTATATGGGCAAAACTGGGCATGGGTTGGTTGATTCAATACCATGTCTTTTTTTTTTTAACCTTTTGCTTATTCCTTTTAAGTTGGTTTGAATATTAAAAAAGTCGAATAAACTGAGATCTGTGGGTTTGGAGATATATAACTGGAACTTATAGTTATTATTCTGTGCTTCTTTCAGGAGGGGAATTGGCAGCTGATGTTACTCGTCTTTCTAGTCAGCCAGTGAAGGACTTTACAACTTTGGAGAGTCTTCTAAAGAAACCACACATAGAATATAAAGTTCTTGATAAGCATGGTTTTGGGAATGAACTGTTGTCTAGAATAGAAAAAGAGTGTGTGGAGATTGACATCAAGTATGCCGGCTTCATTCTGCGCCAACAGAGCCAACTCCAACAAGTGAGGAACTATTATGTGTTTCAATAGAACCTTTGCCATTGCTTTAAATCATGCAATTCGCTGATTTATTTTCTATTTAGATGCTTAGTAACTATTAATTTTTATTCATCCATAATCTCATATTGTCCAACTCTTCCTTTGTGTTTAGATGGTCCATCAACAGCACAGATTACTTCCAGAGGACTTAGATTACTATTCAATAACAACTTTATCTCTTGAATCACGCGAGAAGCTCTCCAAGGTGTGCACGATATATAATTTTATTTTGTCATAACTTTTTACCAATATGTCCAGAACCCTGATGTGGCAGAAACTAATATGCTTTTCATATTGTCGACAAAATGTCTGTAGTACCAAACTCCTGTTCTTTTTTTTTTAACTTTTCATCTATATGTCATTTTATATGCATAGACGCCTAAATGTAATGACTTGATGAAAATTGGAAGCATGACACTGATTCTTTCACGTGATAGTAAATCTCTTTTGAAAGTGATAGTTTCCTCTTTTATACGAAGCTGTCGCTGTATCATGCATCGTATAGTAATTGAATGCTGCTTTGTTCTGAATATGTTTCATTTGGTTTTAATGAAACAACAAATGATGTTTTCAGGTGAGGCCGCAGACCGTTGGTCAAGCCAGTAGAGTTGGTGGGGTGAGCCCTGCCGATATCACTGCTCTCCTCATTATCCTTGAAGCTAATAGGAGGAGAGCGCATGAACAGAAGAAGCTCGAACTGCTAAATTCTATCAAGACGGACACAGATCAGCATGCAGATGAATTGCCGTTGACTGGGACACTCAGTTCATGATGTTTCCGTGCCTGTCAAAGTTAGCATTTGAGTTGGATTCAAGTGTATTAAGTGTATCCTAAAGTATCAATGTCTAGAGAACGCATCATGGTACGAGGTGAATTGGAGATCTGTCTGGGCGGATACCCAGGTCGGAATTGCATACAGATAGCTTGTTTTGCAACGGAACTATGAGGATCTGCTGCTATTAGCTCCTGTATACTCCGGGAACGCTTATCGATCCTTGTCATTGCATAGTCTCGTATTCATGTCTGCAACAGAAGTGAAGATATAAGTTAAAAGTACTAGTTGAAGTACAATGTCATTTTTTTCAGGCTGCAACTGGTGAAGGAAAAACCCCTTTTCAAGCATTAGTTATTGAGATTTTCTATTCCGTTAAGAAAACAAACCGGATACAATTGATGTTATGAAGTTGGTACATCTTTTTTAGGGTGGCTGAAAGTTCTGCAACGGATAAAATGTAAAATATCTATTTTGGCCGGAAAATGCGACCGAAAAAATAAAGCTACATCTTTTTTAGGTGGACCCCACCAGTCAAAGGTAGAAAATTCAAGACTTTAAATTTGCATTTTTTCTATTGGAGTATTATTTATATGTTCGAGACGATAGAGAAAATGTAAATTTAAAGTTTTAAAGGGTAAACCGAGATCAAAATTGAATTTCAAGAAGTGTAACTAAAAATAAGTCTAAATTTAACTGCTATTTGACGGAATACATAGAAACAAACCAAAATGGAGCGTACAGAGTCCAGCTAAAAATAGGTCAAATAAAAAACCTGTTGAAGCTCTTTAGAATTTCAAGAATCGACGGATCAGATGGGTATTACTGAAAACTAACGGTCAGGATTATAATCATCATCGGCTTATCCAAAGGAGCAAAAGCTAGAACATAACCAACCAAATTTCAATCTTGACACTCGAGTGAGCGAGCACGAAAATGGGTCTTCTTCTCTACTCCAATCCTCTCCCTCTCACAACCGCTTCGTCCCGTTCTTCTTTTTCATCGCCGTCTCCAACTTCATCACCTTCACCTTTCTCTGCAACTAGTAAGCTCTCTCTCTCTCTCTCTCTCTCTCTCTTCTCTCTCTCTCCATTTACTTAGTACATCAGCTTTTGCATTCTGTTGTGTATTATTTAAATTACTTCAAATGCTCGCCTGTTTTCTCCAAGCCACACAGCTCAATTGAGTGTTCTTGGTTGGTTTCTGCTCGTTCAGGTCTTTTGTCAAACACTTGGCGTGCAGGCATTCGCCTTCAATAATCCAGTTTCACCTCCGTTTTCGTTTTTTTCTAATATCAATACATAAATGTGCAAAAATTTTCCAAAATGGAAACGTACAGTGTGATTCGAGGAGCGTTTTTGTAGTTAATTTGCTTGTTTAGCTGCTTTCTTGTTTATTTTTCTGCTCGTATTCGTATTCGTATGATAATTTTGTTGTGTCTCTGGTTTTCAGTTTCATGGATGCACATGAAACCAAATGGTCTGCGTCCGAAATTTTTCAGCGGAGTTCGACTTCGTATGCCCGTTGTGAAAGGGTCAGGTTCAGTAGTTGTTAAGGCCTCCTCTGACATTGATGGAACTGCTGCTGCAAATGAGGGTAGTGAGCCCCTTCCAGACAGCAAGGAAGAGGTGGCGGTACCCATCAACAAGCTTCCCTTGGAATCAAAGCTGCAAGAGCGCCTAGAGCAGAAGGCGAAGATGCAGCTGGCGAAGAAGATAAGGCTTCGTAGGAACCGACTTGTTCGCAAGCGAAAACTGAGAAAGAAAGGCAGATGGCCTCCATCAAAGATGAAAAAGCTAAAGAATGTCTGAGTTTTACCTCAAGATTTCTTGCAGGTTTAGTTCTGACCCTTTCTGTTTCTGCGGTCTCTCGTCATTTTGTTAGTGCACGATCAAATATCTCTTCATATTGACGTAATTTCTTAGTTTGAATCTTGTTGATGTCAATGAAAATAGTATTGCCCAATATGATGTGAACTAGGAATTTATAGATGGCAGAATGCATTTGCTTTTTCCGCGTCGAAGATGTGAGAAATGTGGTTGATTTAGGCAATCCTTTCATCTAACAAATGTAGAAATTGTTTCAAGTTCTGCTCCAACATTTACATTAAACCAATAATGCAGGGTAGGCTGCTTGGCACAAAAAACGCTGTAACTGAAGGTTGTTTGCAACCCCTAGAAATGTCGAAATTTTCTCCTAATGTTTTATGAACTCCCGTAATGATCTCTCGAACATGATGAATCCGAAAATATATTTTGCCACTTAAGCATGGTGCAGATTGACATTCTGTCACGGTGAATTTGTAAAGCATCAACCCTAGAGTTTGGAGTTCTATCCACAGATATGTTAAATAAAACTCTAAACGTTTTAGGATCATAACCAAACCACCGTAGAACACCAAGCAGCCACCTCGCTATTCTGATTCCGGGGGGGTTTTCTCCATTTTTCCACTAGAATCAATTTGGAAATATGAACTCGATCCTCTCTCCCCGTACTCATGAGGAGGTCGGTCTCTCCTTGTGTTTTTGCAAGGTTCTGCATCTCCTAGCCATTTGTGCATGTTTTGATCATCCCTTGGCTTGTTCAGGGTTGTTCTCCAGTTCTATGGCTGGATCTTTCTCCCCAGTCATCCAGTGCGAACGCAAGCTTTCAACTACTGCTAATTTATTGTTTGGTTTTTTTTATGTTGTATTGTGTATCAATCTTTGCAGGGCAAAACCCTCTCCAAGCGCGGTTTTTCTTCGGTGCGCCCCCTGTAGCATACAGGCATTTTTGTGACCGTCGGATTTCATCCTGCGGTTAAAAATGATTACCTTGTGACATTCTTAAGAGTATAGACGTTGTCAATGTTATCGTGAGAGTTGGTAGACGGGGAACCAAATAAGTTCCCCTTTCACAAAACAAAATGCTCGTTTTCAACTTCTAGGTACAGGCCCTTTCTAAAGGGTTACCATTTTTAGAAAAAGAAAATGAGGATAACACGTGCAGCCGTCGGATCATTTTTAATGAAATCGCGCAGCTAGAATCCAAAAAAACTCTTCACGTGGCAATCGTTCAACGGATGGATACTGTACTTCTTGACCACGTAACAAGCGTTTAATAAACGATGACGCCTCAAAACTAAAACCTTATTGGATAAGTGAATCTCTTCAGGTCCCTATAGTCTACACTATGATCCTAACATTCTTTTTCGACCAAGAGTCATACGTACACCATCACCAGAGATAATGATGCACTTTATATCATATCAGTGCCTCGTTCATCACGTGATTAGATTAAGCGAAGAGGGATGGTACAAAATTTCCCACAGCATAGAGGCACCCATGATTGTTTTTTGGTTGTGATTATCATGGATTGAAAGGCCATCATCACCAGCAATTCCAAAGCAAAAGGAAAACAAAACACAAATAAAAAAGAAATTAAAAATTCAATGTATTATCCAAAGCTTCTACATGTAATCGTTAAAATGGCTCGACAATGAATGCTTATAATTTTTCTAATTAACTCAAAGTAGCGACATTGAAGTCAAACCTAATGTCAAATCCAGCAGAGGTTCCTCAAGCTTTTCCCTTCCTTCTTCTACCGTGGTCCATAAGCATAAGCTGTGTCCAAAACTATACCTCTAAACTATAAGCTCAGAATTAGAGCAACCACAACGACAAATATGCATGGCCTTGCAACAGCACCAGCTGAGGTTGACCTGCAGGCATCAGATAGCTGTAATAAGTATCGTTCGTTACTAGTAACCAGTTCTTCCTTCTGTTTATATTACACCGGAATTCATGAATGATATAAAACAATAGGTAGTAATACATAGACTGAAACCTAGAAGCCACCACCAGCCCCAACTCCCTTGCATTATTTCATTTCTTTTCCTTTTTCTTTACCATTAAGTTTTATTGTATTAAAGACCGACCCCTAAATAAATGTGCAGAGATGCCGTCCTATGTTCAAATGCAAGAAATAGCAAGATGGACTGAAAGCAAACGCTATGAAGCAATGCAACCGTTCATGAGCCAACAATAACTGAATTCCTCTCTCTTCCCAGGAATGCATCAAACAGTAGTGAAAAGCATATAATTCAAATGGAAAGAAAGGGTAATCGGATCACATAGATGACTTCATATGATCCCATTTTTAGAAAACGAGATGATAGGGACCATTATTTACCGTATAGGACCCTCGTGTTCTGGTGCAAAACAAGGGTAAAACAGTGAAATGTTACCTTGCTACAAGCTGCTTGACTGACTCAGTTTCAAGTCCATGCCCTAACGGGAAAAGTGGATCATAGTGTGAATCCCCAACATTCATTGGGAGTTGATCTACAGTTCTGAACCATGTCCTTGGAAGCTTTCCGCTGAATCCATGATCCCCAAAAAGGACATCAGTAATACCTTGACCTTCAGAGCCTGGCAACCATGCTGCCACCAGAGCATCAATCGAGGAAATGTATGGTTCAATTACGATAGGTCTGCCAGTAATTAAGATAACAATGCACTTGACACTTTCACACACATTGCTAATGACACTAGGGCCAGGTTCCACCATTGTTAGATTTGTGCTGTCTCCCAAAGTCTCAACATAAGGGTGCTCGCCAACCACAACAATAGCATATGCAAAGTTGTTGGACTTAACAAAATTGCCATCAGGATTTTCTCTGTAGATAACTTCTGTGCTTGAGTCAACTGTTGAGTTTATAGCACCAAGAATTGTAGTCCCTAATCATGAAAACAAAGTCTGTCAAGATCACTTCTCAAGTAGTTTCCTGGAATTAAACATTCTTAAAATAAATAAAAAATGTGATTGAAATGTATTTGGACATATTCCAGTGCATGAAATAATACTTGAAGAGAAGTTTAGGAAATGTAATCTATCAATATAGCCATGAAAGCAGACTATACCGCTTGTATAGTTGTTGCCGCTGAATCCTTGCCATGTCATTGTCCATCCACCGCATTGGTAACCCAGATTATCAGCATGACTGCCGGCGACTAGAATTTTGGACACCTTCTTGGGAAGAGGTATGACAGGATCTGTATTGTTCTTGCTTTTCCCATTCTTCAAAAGCACAAGGGATTTTCTGACAGCCTCCCTTGCCAAATCTCTGTGAGCCTAGTAATGGCAAAAAATAAAATACAAAAATGATCGATTCATGTCAGGTAGTCACTAAATAAAAAACTTAACTCTTTAGTCTTTACTAACATTGATAATTGACAAGGGAAGACCATGGAACTTGGACCGTACTTGTTGGCCATTAAATGCAACACCAATTGCAAAAGTATAACTAGAAAAATTGGATTCAATAAGACTGTCCATTCTAACTTTATCGAACTATATACATCAATCAAATGACCAACATGAGAGTTGCAATGCTGATATTTGATTATCTTTGATAAACTGACCTGGCTTCCAAGCTCATTGACTAGGCTGAGATCAGCCAAAGGGTTCTCAAAAAGACCCATGGTGAACTTGACAAGTAGAATCCTTCCCACAGCATCATCAATACGATCCATTGGAACCACGTTAGTCTTGACAAGGTTAATGAGATCATTAATGAACTCTTTATAATTGAAAGGGACCATGACCTTCAAAACACAGAGAACCATCTTCAGAGTTTTATAATTGCAACCCAGAAAAAAAAAATTATTACATATGCATTATTTTTCTCATTGTTTCACTGACTACAGTGTAGCAGAGACGCTATTATCTTCTTTCATTTCTGTAAGAGGTTTTTATATAAAATAAGACACGAACCATATCAATTCCAGCTAGAACTGAAGCTTGGACAGAGTATGTGTAGTTTGAATGTGGTGGCGAGGTAATCCTGTCAATACCCTCCCAATCCGATATAACAAAACCCTGAATGTTCCACCAAAACACAATATGCTGTTAGCATGAAACTGCGCAGAACACAGGTAAACGTAAAATAGCAAAATGAAGCACACCACACCTATTGTGAGACCAATAACAACCAGAATAGAAGATGAGCAAATTATCAATTTATATCTTAGTTTCGTATTGAATCTGAAATTTCATTTCATTAACACAGATGAAGCTTAAAGACACTAAAAAGTGAGAACTGATGCAAATCAGGAAATATGCCTAGCTCATAAATTGTATCTAGAGTGATGAGCAAAAACTGCATCAGACGTTTGTTTGAATGTAGTAAGATGGATACAAAGACAACAATCTGTATTGACAACATCGTTGGGCACCGAGCAGTCGAGAAACAAGTTCGAAAAATGTAATGAAATGAAGATGATGTTAGACGGGAAATACAAGAATACATAAATGCAATGAATCCACATATAGACAAAGTGAAAACATAGGAAAGTGAAGAATCATGCTAACCACTAGGCAATGTCCCAAAAAAATCAACCACATTAATGTGTAATGTGGAAGTAAATTGAATTTGATTAAACATGCTGGGGCCAACATGTGAAAATACACAACGTTGAGAAAAAACAGATAAGACTGACAAGTATTTTAAGACTAAAAATAGACTGAGGGCAAGAACAGTTATAAAAAGCAGTCAACTAGTCTCGATTACGAACATATACTTTGAAAACCAGTGATTCAAGCTATAAGATGCTGAGGAAGAGAATACCACACAAATAAAACTACCGATAATTGCAATATGAAAAATTTTTGTACCAGAAACCTTTCTTGTATTGATGGTAAGATGTTAAACACTGGGGTGTGTTAGTTTCGTGCTTACATCAAATCTTGGTAAACAAGCTTGGATATAAAATAAAAGTGAATAAAATGCTACCTTAAATTTAAGGGTGCCCTTGAGGAAGTTTGTAATTAGATCATGGTTTGCATGCATCTTTTCCCCATTCCAACTGGAGTAGGAAATCATCACGGTTGAGACACCCTTGATGATCGAATCAGAATAGGCAGGCATGTGGATGCTAAGCAACTCATGCCGGTCAGTCACAGTGTTGTTCTCATTAATGCCCCTG